AAAGAAAGAAAGAAAGAAAGAAAGAAAGAAAGAAAGAAAGAAAGAAAAGAAAAGAAAAGAAAAGAAAAGTTCGTTTTTAAGTACTTGCTTAGCATGCACAAGGCCTCTGGCTTCAATCCCCACTCCTCTTCCCCTGAATGAAGAAGTTTAGGAAACCCTAAGATCTCATCTAATATAAACAAGTGAGATATTAGTGCACATGGTGTTGGAACTTGAGGGAAAAAAAAAACACTCAAATACAACAGAAACAGGGCAGTGAAGAAAGGAGACAAATTAGAATAAAGTATAACACACACATATATATATGCTATAATGTAGCCTACTACTTTGTATGTTAACTTAAAACAAATTTAGGAAGAGGAAATTTAATTGACAATGAAATGATAGCAAAAGGTACAACCTTCAAAATATGCTTAGGTCCTGGTGGTATCCCTTGTGAGTAGCTTGAGGTCATTATAATGGGAATGAGCCATTGTGATACCATTACTGGCACAGGGAATCCCCAGCTCCCTTTTGTTCTCATGGTGCACCCTTCCATGTAATGCCTTCCAATTAGTGACCAGCACTGTGCTGCATGTAGGCCCCCAGTCTTGCATTTCCTATCCTTTCACTAGAATTTATGTCAATTAAATTTGTATTATTTATAATTGTCTCAGTCAAACACTTAAAGAAATGCTCAACATACTTAGTCATCAGGGAGATTCAAATCAAAATAACCCTGAGCTTTCACTTTACACCCATCAGAATGGCTAGATCAAAAACTCAAGACACAACAAATGCTGGCGAGGTTGTGGAGAAAGGGGAACCCTCCTCCATTGATGGTGGGAATGTAAACTTGTACAACCACTTGGAAATCAATCTGGCACTTTCTCAGACAATTAGGAATAGTGCTACCTCAAGACCCAGCTATACCACTCCTGGGCATATATTCAAAATATGCTCAAGTATACAACAAGGACATTTGCTCAACCATGTTTGTAGCAGCTTTATTCATAATAGCTAGAAGCTGGAAACAACCCAGATGCCCCTCAACTAAGGAATGGATACAGAAATTGTGGTACATTTACACAACAGAATAAACTCAGCAATTAAAAACAAGGAAATCATGAAAATTTCAGTCAAATGGTAGGATCTAGAAAAGATCATCCAGCGTGAGGTATCCCAGAAGCAGAAAGACACACATAGTATATACTCACTTTTAAGTGGATTCTAGACCTGTAATATAGGATAAACATACTATAATCTGTATACCTAAAGAAACTAAGCAAGAAGGAAATTCCTGGGTTAGATGATCAGTCCTCACTCAGAAAGACAAGTGGGATGGGCATTGGAAGAAGGAGAAAACAGGAAACAGGACAGGAGCCTACCACAGAGGGCCTCTGAAAGTCTCTACCCAGCAGGGTATCAAAGCAGATGCTGAGACTTGTAACCAAACATTGGGCAGAGTGCAGGGAATTCTATGAAAAAAGAGGGAAAGAGATGGGACCTGGAGAGGACAGGAGCTCCACAAGGAAAGCAACAGAACCAAGATATCTGGGCACAGGGGTCTTTTCTAAGAGTGATACTCCAACCAAGGACCATTCATGGATATAACCTAGAACCCCTGCTTAGATGTAGCCCATGGCAGCTCAGTATCCAAGTGGGTTCTCTAGTAAGGGGAACAGGGACTATCTCTGACATGAACTCAGTGGCTGGCTCTTTGACACCCTCCCCTTGGGGGAGAGCTGCCTTGCCAGGCCACAGAAGAGGACAATGCAGCCAGTCCCGATGAGATCTGATAGGCTAGGGTCAGATGGAACTGGAGGAGGACCTCCCCTATCAGTGGACTTGGAGAGGGGAATGGGAGAAGAGGAAGGGAGAGTGAGATTGGGAGAAAAACGGGAGGAGGGGGAGCTACAACTGGGATACAAAGAGAATAAACTGTAATTAATATAGAAAATAAAAATTAAAAAAAAAGAGAAAAAAATAATTGTCTCGGTCAGTGTTCCATTGCTGCAATGATATGTCATGATTACAGCAGCTCTTACAAAAGAAATCATTTACTTGTGGCTTCCTTTCAGTTCAGGAGGTTTAGTCCATTATCATCATGGTTGGGAGTATAGCAACAGACAGGTAGACATAATACTGGAGAAATTGTGTGTTCTGCATCCAAATCCCCAAGCATCAGGAAGGATCTGCCTTGGGATCTTGAAACCTCAAAGCCCGTCCCCAGTGACACACTTCCTCCAACAAGGCCACACCTCCTAATCCTTTCAAATACTGTCACTCCCTAACCATTTAAATATATGAATCAATGGGAATGATTCTTATTCAAACCACTACCATAATTTTGAAAATTAAAATATATATATATATATATGAAGACAAAAATTTAAAAGCCTTAAGGTTTGAAATTGTATTCCCAATGAGCAGTAATAATGAGAACTTGGTGGTAAACATTGCCTAAGAAATTATTCCTGTTTGACTAATAAAAAGCCATCCTTGGCAGGACAAAGGTGAGGTGGGCAGAGCTGAGGTTCTATGGTTTGGACAAAAGAGGATCTTGGAAAGTAGATACGGAGGAAAAGAGGAAGAAGCCACTAGGTGTTAGATGGGGGAGAAAACCAAGTGGCAGAAGGACTCCAAGAATGGCGTAGATGGAATAAGATACCCAGATGAAGAAAAAGCAAATATTTGTGGAGTTATGGACAAAATTCCATCTATATATTAACCAGAGAGGAATGGTTAGGGCAGATGGCATGGGAGAGGAGCTGGAATATATGAGATAGTGTAGGTGGAGTTACCTTTCCCACCTAGGTAAATATCATAAAACCTATCAAGTGTCTGTTATCATTTTTAGTGGGTTAATGATAAACATAGGCCTAAAAATAAGCAATATTTTCAGCAACAATAAAGTCTAAAATACTTGAAAAGACTGAGAAAGAGTAACAGTGATGGGGAGGAGAAGCAGTGTGGACGCAAGGAGTCTTAGTTATGTAAGAAGTAAAACACCTGGGAACCAGTAAGCTCTAAGGCAGGAAGCAGGAAGTGAAAAGGTGTGGAGGAACTGGGAGGAAAGAAAATGATAAAAATGTCACTTTGTTTAAAAATGTCATTACACTATCTAGTATATCATATACTAATTTAAAATTTAAATTTAAAAATGAGGAAATGTCAATGGCTAAAACCAAATTTATGAAAAGAACAAGATCTACCTAACAAGAATTAAAGTGCTATGGAAATATTCCTTAAAACACACAGTCACACCACAGCAGTCCAAGGAAAGACAAACAAGTGTCCCATTGTGTGCATCATTAAGGTGGACCAGTGTGTGATGGAGAGATGGGAAAGATGGAGTGTTCAGTGGAGGGATGGGAGACAAGTTTTCTACACTGTAGAGAAAGGTGGAACTGGAGAGTCAACAGCAGTAAGGAACAGGCAGATACGATGAGCCTGTGTAACCAATGAGGACATGGTGAGGCCCTGGCCCCAGCTGCCAACAAAGGGTCCATATCTGAGTCCACAATCCTACTGCAGCTACGGTCTGTTTCAATGTCTGTGGCCCAAGTTACCACCAAAGGCTAAGCAGATGTCTGTGGTGAGGGATGCCACCAGAGACCACATGGATGTCTGAGGATCATGCTACCACAGAAGGATATGCTGACCTGAGTGCCCTGCACTGCCACCTGGGGCCATGGGGCCATCTGAGCTCATCCTGCTGCTGGGGGCCATGTCCCGGCCATGTCCCGGTCTGTGGTCCTATCATAGTTGTGGGCTATGCTGATGTCCCAGACCTGGGTCACCACCAAAGGCCAGGATGCTATCCCTGGTCAGGACTGCCACCTGAGTCACTGTGCTAAGCTGCCCCCTTCCCTTGCCCACCATGAGCTGGCACCACCCGTCTTTGGCTGTCATGATCAGGGTAGCTAACAACCCTTGCTTGGGTAGCACCAAAATTACTTGATTTATACAATTATTTCTTATAACAGATTTTTAAAGATAGATATTTTTAAAGATAAATATCTCTGCACTCTCTTTCATATGTGTGTTTGTCTGTCCATGTGTGTGTGTTGTATAAATGTGTGTACTATGGAAGTCAGAGATCAATAAGAAGTGTTGTCCAACTTGTGTCACTCCCAGTTATCCCTGGTTATTCTAAGATGGTGGGCTAATGAACATCAGATATTTGTCTATTCTTGCCTGCCCAGCATCACACACACACACCATGCCAGGATTTTCACATGGGTGCTGGGCATTGAACTTGGGTTTCCTTGCTTTCCTGGCAAGTATTTTACAGACTAAGCTACTTTCCCCACGTCAATTGTTCCCCTTGATTTCAGCATCTCATCTACTCACTTTCTTGATGTACTGGCAGAGGAACTATCTTCTCTTCATGTCTTACGGGGTGAGTCATGGACACAACCAGGTTCCGGAGACCCAAGGACATCACAGTTTTCAAAGAGATGTTGTAGCTTTTAGTGACAGTCACTGTGGCATTGAGGTTCTGAAGAGTGTACTCTTCTGTGGACACTATGACTCCTGAAGGGTGAATTGAGATTCCAGGGGCAGGTTTTCCCACAGCTGAACAATGAAGGTTATGGAGATCTTCAGAGCCAGGAACAGATTGGAGTTCAGTTACCAACTCAGATACAGCTAACGCAGAGAGGGACACAAAATTAATACAAAAGCAAGTTATACCAAATTCTCTGTTGTTGAAGAGTGGTGTTTTCCTCAACTTTTATATGACACCTAAATGCTGAAAACACAGCCCTATCAGGTACCTTCCCCCACACATCATAACACTTCCAGTACCTGTTCTTCTGTTCACTGGCTGCGGTCTCAACTTCCATGGAGTATGCATTATATCATGCACATCCCAGCACTTTACACATATAGCTACACAGTAAGGAATGCTGGTGTTCTCACTAGCCTTGTGACATTTTGCTTCTTTGAAGACTGGAGTCCTCTCATTCCCTTCGTTTTCACCTTTCCTTGTTCTCTAGTCTCTTTCTTTTCTCACATCTTTCTTTTGGCACAGTAACATTCTGATACTCTTGGGTTTTCTCCTCTTAATGGAAGCCAGGACAGCATAATGTAAAGAAATGATGTGAAGAAGAAGAAAAAAAAAATCCTGCTTGAACACACAATTTCTATTAGTCTCTTTAGAGGAGTTTTAATTCAGAACATGGCTCCTCTGGCAAGAGATCATATCCAAAGACCTTCTAGGTCTGAATGTTCTGGCTAGAATACAAACATTCCTTTAATCCAAGGAGACAGAGGCAAGCAGATCTCTGAGTACAAGACCATCTGTTATAGAGCAAGTTTCAGGAAAAGAAAAGCTTAGATCCAGAAGTGGTGGTACACACCTTTAATCCCAGCACCCAAGAGACAGAGACATGAAGATCTCCGATTAGAGCTGATTAGTTCTGTTGTGGCAGTTTGGCTGAGGCAGTGAGTTGAGAGGCAGTGCTGTGGAGTTGAGTTCATGGCAGTTTAATGGGTCAGTTACAGAGACAGGTCACAGAAAGAGAACGAGGTAGACACATGGGGAGACAGAATGAGCCAGAGAATGAGAAGAAGCCAGAAGATTAGAACATATTGCCAAAGTTAGTATGAAGCCAAGCAGAGAAATTTAGTCCAAAGCTGAGAGAAGTCAGATTGAATCAATCAGCTTGGAGAGGAGTTTGAACTAGAATAACTGAATCGAACCAGCCAGCCAGAGTTCAGAAAGAACTAGAAGTGAGCCTGTTCAGCAATAAGTCCCAGAGGCTAAAAACACTGTAGGCCTAGGTACAATTGTATGAAGGCTAGAAACTTTTAGGTCTAGGCTTAGGTTAGCAGATGAAGGTAGTAAGCAACAGAGATGAGAATTACTTCAAGCAAATAAAAGATATTTTTACAGGGCTGCATTATGTTTCTCCTGTCTAAATAACTTGAACTCATCACCATCAGCTTCTCTTTGTCGAACTTTCTTTCTCTGGACAATGTCCTTAGAAACTGTAACTCCATGATGTCTACCCCCATTATGGGAACTTATATATAACATTAGATACCTAAAATGTTAAGGCAGGTTTGTTCTCCATGACTGCCATGTGGAAAAGTGTTAATCAGACACTTGTAGCAGGCTTCATCTTCAAATGTCACTTCCTGGATAGTTATGAAGGAGGTGCTGGGTTCCAGGATCTTGCAGTGAAGCCTGTTTTCATATGGTGGAAGGATCTTTTCCCCGTATTTGTGACTGTAAGTGCCAATATTTTGAGGCAAAGAGTCTTGGATCTTTTGCCAGGTGATTTGCTCAACATTTGCCAGACTTGTCAAGTTGCAGAAGATGGTCACGTTTCCTCCGACGACTGCAGTCTCATAATTTTTATGTTTTATCATCTGCAATGTCTCTGAAAAGGACACCCATTGTTAAGTGACATATACTTCCATACTTCTGTGGAGCACTCTAAAAACCCAACCACATACCTTGATTCACCTTACTCATACTATATCATAAGCTTTTCACTTATTTCATTTTCATGATCAAATTACAAGCAACTTTGTAGCAAATATTTTCAAAATAAATATGATCTAATCTGTACAAAAGCATCATGAAAGTCTCAAATGAATGAGACAAATTTGTTGTTGACTGAAACCCTATGTGTTATTAGTCAGTTCTCGGCTCATGCTTTACATGGGCTGATCTGTAGTACTGTAGTCTTGTAGCAAGCTTTTGCTTTCCTGGACCTCAGTATTTTCATTGCCATTAATATTAATAGGCTTAATGTTACCTGCCTCACAGTATTGAATAAAATGAGAACAGAAGTCATGTCACCACAGATGTTTTTGTTTCCATAGGTAGTTTGGTCCTCGCCTTCAGGGAATGGTTAAATAATACAGATGAAATCCCAAACGAGCAACAACAACAGCAGTAACATACAAGCTGCCCATCAATGATTCTACAGCAATTTCTGTACTGCTTTGCCCCTCATTATCATTTATTCCCAAGTTCTGCTCTCCAAATATGCACATGTAGATATATGGAGGTTACCATATCTTTATTCCTGCTCCTGAACTTATTCTTGAGAAATTTATTTAATTTTTAAAATTGTGCTTGTGACATGGGTATGTGTTTTTCAGTACATGTGCCTCCAGAAGATACAAGATGTTTTTGTATCCCCTGGAGCTACATTTACACGTGCTTGCCAACCTCCTGACAAAAGTATGTGCTCCTAATTCATGAGCTTCTCAAGACTCCTTCCCCAAATTCTTAAAGAACACTAGTCAGTTCATTAACCTGTGGAAAACTAAGGGATTAAATGCTGTTAATTCAATCATTCAGAAAATAATAAAACGTTTTCTAATTCTTAAATTAGGTCAGTTTTTAAAGATAAAGAAATCATAAGGAAAATTATTTGTAGACACATTCTGGTAGAAAAGATTTTTAATTTAGTAGTCTTTTCTGGGATTCTTAGAAAGTGTATAGAAAAAAAGGATAAGATTCTACTCACAGTCATACATGTTCAGGCCTTAGGCCTGGTTCATTACTACTTTAATATAAAATATATGTATATGAGAGGAATCATATCTTTATGCTAGTAACCTTTTTTGTTTGTTTTTTTTTTTACCTTAATATCAAATATTGTAAATTGTGTTTTAACTCAAAGGTCCTTTCACTTCCCATGTTCTCACTATTCTTCCTCTATTACGTTCTTATCTAAACAAAAGTAAATGCAACCACCCAAATAAAGTATGGGGAACTTGAAATATGACCTTGAACTAGAAAATAATGCTATTCTCTGAAAAATGAAACTGGCCTTGCCTTCTCTTCACTGGAACCAGTAGTCAGTCTACATTTCAAAAACATATTCACTTTACCTTCCTCCATAATCAAACCAACCAGCCAACCAGCCACACAAACAATAACAAATACAATCAAACCAAACCAAACCGAACCAAATCAAAAACACCAAAACCTCCAGCATCCAAATCAACTAACTGATGAACCAAACAAACCACAAGATAGAGCTAAGAACTGGGTAATAGGGAAGAGGAGGGTGGATCTGGAAAGTGTTTGGGAATGGGTGAATACGATCAAAATCTTTTGTACATAATTTTAAAAGAACCATTAAAAAAGTTTTATTTTTAAATTATTTATTTATTACTTATTCACTTTCCATCCTGATCATAGCCCCTTCACTCCTCTCTTCCTTGTTCCACCCTCTTTCTATCTTTCCCCTGCCCCCCTTCTCTACTCCTCAGAAAGGGGAGCCCCCCCTACCAGCCTACCTCAACACATCAAGTCACATTAGGACTGAGGGCATCCTCTTCCCCTGTGGCCTGGAGAGGCAGCCCCACCAGGGAGATGTGATCGAAAAACAGGCAACAGAGTCCATGTCCACAGACAGTCCCTGTTCCTCTTACTAGGAAACCCACATGAAGTTTGAGCTGCCCATCAGCTACATCTGTATAGGGAGCCTAGATCTATACCATGCTTGGTCTTTGGTTGGTGATTACATCACCACAAACCCTCTGGTTTGTTGGCTCTGTTAGTCTTCATCTGGAGCTCTGGTTGTCTTCAGGTCCTATTATCATTTCCCCAACTTTTGTACAAGACTTCCTATACTTTGCCCAATGTTCAGCTCCAAGTCTTAGCATTTGTTTCAATCTGCTGTTGGGTGAAGCCTCTCAGAGGACAGATCCTGTCTGCAAGCATGGTGGAGTATCATTAATAGTGTCAGGGGCTGGCTCTTTCCCTTGGGCCAGACATTGGTTGGACATTCCTTAACTCTGTGCTCTACATTTATCCCTGCGCATCTTGTAGGCAGGGTAAATTTTGGGTCAAAGTTTTTGTGGGTGGTTTGGTGTTCCCCTCCCTCCACTGGGAGTCCTATCTAGTTAGAGGGTATCCTCTTCAGTCTCCATGACTCCTGCTACTAGGAGTTTCAGCTAGAGTCACCCTATATCCTTCCAGGAGCCTACTCTGTTGTAGGTCTCCAGTTTGTCACAGAGATGCCCCTAGTAGCCATGGTTTCTCTACTTTCTACAGATCTGCTGTCCTCCTGCCCCTGTTCTCCCCAGGTCTGATCTGTACCCCCATTTCTCTCTGAGCTCCCTCTCTTACCTTGTTCCCTCTCTTCAACTGCTTCCACTGTCAGTTTTCCCCTGCTGAGTGATATTTAAACATTCTTCCTTGGGGCTTTCTTGTTACTTATCTTTTTTTTTTAATTTTATTTTTTTCTTATCAGTTACATTTTATTAACTCTGTATCCCAGCCATGTCCCGATCCCTCATTTCCTCCCAGTCCCTCCCTCCCTCCCTCATCTCCACCGTGCCCCTTGCCAAGTCCACTGATAGGGGGAACCTCCTCCCCATTCATCCGATCCTGTTTTATCAGGTATCTTCAGGACTGGCTGCAAAGCTCTCCTCTGTGGCCTAACAGGACTGCTCCTCCCTTGGGGGGTGGGGAGGCCAAAGAGCCAGTCATTGAGTTCCTGTTAGAAATAGTCCTTATCTTTTTTGGCTCTGTGAATTATAGTATGTTTATTCTATATTATATGGCTATTAATCTACTTATAAGTGAACTCATATTATGTGTGTCTTTCTGGATCTGGGTTACCTCACTCAGGATGATCTTTTCTAGTTCCATCCATTTGCCTGCCAATTTCATGATTTCCTTATTTTTAATAACTGAGTAATATTCCATTGTGTAAATGCACCAGAGCCTTGTCTAGCCTCAGCAGAAGAAGATGCACCCAGTCCTACCTCAATTTGATATGCCAAGGTGGGTTGATATTCACGGGGAGTCTCTCCTTCTCTGAGGAGAAAGGGATGGGGGTATAGGAAAGGTGAGATGAGAGAGGGGGACTGGGAGGAAGGAGGGCAGGGAAGTTTCAATAAGGGTGTAAATAAATTAATTAATTAGTGAACAAGTGACTTTGCTCAAGATGATGCCAACCATCCATCCACATATAAGTAAAACAATCCATCTTCAGAAAGGCAAATGTCAAGTTTTCTTTTCTTTGTACATCCTTGGGTTTTTTTTTTTGTGTGTGTATGTATTCTACATGTATGTATTTCTGTACATGACATGAAGGCAGGAAAGCAAGGAGAATAGTGAAAAGACAAAGGAGAACAAGGGAAGACAGTGAAAGGGTGGTGAATATGTTTAAGCTACTTGGTTCACTGAAAAGATAATTGTCATTATGAAACCCACACAACAAATATATGTCAATAACAGTAATCATTCTGTAAGTGTAAGCATATAAATGTTATTTCATTTAATCTGATTCTATTTCTAACATAAGATATGCAGTCAAGCCTCATAATTTCCATTTTAATGACACAATCTTAACTTCTATTTCATTACAAATTTATAGTAGTTAATTGGTTTTAATTTTTTCATGATTTCTTTGACTGTTTGCTAAAATGGATTTACACTGTTAACTTGTGGAGATAATTTCCTTACTGATCCATGTTGTTTGGGGCCATCAGACTACATAAGCCTGCGAATGCTTCTCACACATCCAACTAGACAACAACATCTCCTCCTCTGCATTACTCTTGCAGTTCCCCAGACTCACATTTCTCTGTTCCTTCCTTCCCACAGGCACCAAAATAGCCTCAGAAAAACTTTGTGTGGCTGCCTTGTCTGTGTTTATTTCCCCCCTTTTCATTTCTGATTTGTTGATTTGGATAGTGTCTCTCCGCCTTTTAGTTAGTTTGGCTAGGGGTTTGTCTATCTTGTTGATTTTCTCAAAGAACCACAGAAGAAGACACTGCAGCCACTCCTGATGAGACCTAATTGACTAGCATCAGAAGGAAGGAAAAGTAGGCCTCCCCTATCAGTGGACTTGAGGAGGAGCATGCATGCAGAGGGTAGAGGAAGGGAGGGATTGGGATGGGAGGAGGGAGGAAACCACAGGGAAGATACAAAGTGAATAAAGTGTAATTAATAAAGAAAAAAAAAAAAGAAAAAATCTTTGTGTGAGTCAGAATATAAAGTGGTCCCCTACATGCCAAAAAATGACCTAGAGTTGAAAATCATTATGAAATGTGTCCCCAAATATTTTCTTAAAAGACTGGACCCCAATCCAAAGCTGCTAACCCATCAACTGTAGTTTTTACATTTCAAAATATCTACAACCCCACCCTACACAGAAGACTTCCTCCTACTTGAAAAAAGCAGAAAAAAAAAAAAAAAAAAAAAAAAAACAAAACAAAACATGGCCCATAGGTGTGTGGCCAAAAACTCACTATGTCACAGCTGAACTATACATAAACAATACCATTTCTGGGACTTCTTTTCAGTTTCTCATTATGTTTTCAGTGAACACAACTGTCTAGTTTTAAATCCCTTTAATATAGATAAATGAGACTCTGTTCTCATCAGTCGATCATATCGGGACATATATATATATCCTCCTAGGACAACCATCTCATAATCCACTGTGAAGACTCTAAATGAGAGCCAGTGTTAGGAGATATATATTTTCATATTACAGTGAGGTATTCAAAAAGCCTCTGTCTCTCTATCTAATGATTACGATTTTATTTGTTCAACTTGATTATCAAGAAAATGAGGGCTACATACACCAAATGTCTAAATGAAAGCAAACAATATAAAGTTAGATTGAGAATGTGCAGAGACAATACAGCTTACACACTCTGCTGAAGGGAGTGTGAATTCTGTTGATACTCAGTTGAAACCCTTGTGGCTATTTTATGACTAACCACAAGCATCTCTACAAGCAGTAAGACTACTCATAACATAAACCTAAAGAAGTGCATGCATGTGTTCTGCAAAAACATGAAGCACAATGCTCATGGAACATTATTGTCATGATCAAAACTGGATTGCAAATCTAGTATATACTTCATGACACACTATAGTGGATGAACCCACACTCATGGGTAAAGGGGCAGGACAATTAGGATGCAGTAGGTTATTTTTTAAAAAGCATATGAATTTATTATGAGGAGGTGAGAGGAGGTGAGGGTGGATCTGACAGGAGTAGGAGTGAGTGTTAAATATGATCAAAATTCATTATATGAAATTCTCGAATAATTAATAAAATATTATATTAAAATAATAAATTATATAAGTAAATTATAGTATTACACAAAGAAATTCATTACACATTGAGATTTAATGAGCCACATTTTCTCTAAAAATGTGATTCAACCTATTAATGAATTAAAGAAACAAGAAACAAATGAATAGATGATACTGGTCGTCTATTCTTCAAATCAAAAACAGATTAAACAAGGCCACAGAGGAGGACTTTGCAGCCAGTCCTGAAGATACCTGATAAAACAGAATCAGATGAAAGGGGAGGAGGTCTTCTCCAATCAGTGGACTTGGAAAGGGGCAGGGAGGAGATGAGGGAGAGAGGGTGGATTTGGGAGGGAATGAGGGAGCGGGATACAGCTGGGACACAGAGTTAATAAAATGCAACTAAAAATAAAAATTTAAAAATTAAAAAAACAAACAAACCCATAGCGTAGCAAGACAGGCTATGGAGAGTCAAAGGAAAGAAGTCTTGCTGTCTTTTGCTGGATGCGTGCAATAGACTGTATCTTCACCAAATGGAGAACAGTCTCCCCCAGAGCAAAAACTGCAAAAGATCAAGGCAGAGACACAATTCAAGAAGTCAACTATTCGCCATATTTTACCAACCAGTCATGATGAATGTAGAAGAATTATACAAAAGAAAGTGAATATTGGGAGGAAAGTTGACCTTGTACTTGGCCATCACCAGCTCCAACACCAGCCTCAGCCTGTCTCTATCTCATGTGTTTCAATTTATATTTAAACCTTTTGAAATACTCATTCTTCAAACTTTGTTTATCTACTTCCCTGTTATTTTATTGTCACCTCACATGAGATGTAATCCAAATTTATTTAATGAATTTACTTCATACTGTACCGAGAGAGAGAGGAAAGAAAGGAGAGAGAGAGAGAGAGAGAGAGAGAGAGAGAGAGAGAGAGAAAGAAAGAGAAAGGGAGGGAGAGAGAGGTCTAAATACTGCTGCTGTGGATTATTATCCATTTCCCTAATGTCTGCTTAAAAAACCCAACCACACAGCTTGATCAACTCTATTCATATAATGTCATATGGAATCCACTCATTCCTTCTTCATGAGCAATTCACAAGCAACTTTGTATCAAGTATTTTCTTAGTAAACACAGTGAGTCTAGGCTGTTAAAAAAGCATCACCAATGTCTCAAATTCATGAGGCAAGTTTATTGTTTTGAGAAACCCTGTGTTTACCAGTCAGTTCTGTGCTCAGCTTTACCTGGTCTCATCTATAGGACTGTGGTCTTCTAGCAATGTATTACTTTCCTGCACCTCAGCATTTTCTTCTCCATAACAGGCTTAATATTACCTGCTTCACAGTGTAGAATAAAATGAGAACAAGAAGCCATCTGACAGTTATAAGCCACCTCAAACAATTTAGGTAGTTTGGTCCTCGCCTTCAGGGGAGAATTAAGCACATGAAAAACCAAACTAGCAACAACAAAAAAGCAACAATGGAGCTGTCCATCACTGAATCCACAGCAGTTTCTGTATTGCTTTGTCCCTCATCATTGTTTGATCCCAGGTTTTCTTCTGCTTTAGAGTTGTGAGCTATTTCATGACAGAAGTCTCCCCCATTATGCATTTTATTGACTAATTTATTATTGATTGGTGCTATGGATTGAACCCACGACCTCACTCATGCTAAGCAAAATCTTTATTTTTAAACCTCAGGCCTTCTTTTCTGTTTATTTTCCTTTTGTTGTTGTTCTGCTCCTGATTTGTATGTCAGAACAGTATATTATTTTTTTAAATTATTCTTGGGTCATGTGGTATATGTCCTTGAATGCATGTACCCCAAGAGGATAGAAGAAGTTTTTGGATCCACTGGAGCTGGATTTACAGGTGCTTTTGAACCTCCTTCTATTCTTGGGACAGAACTTGTGTCCTTCAGCTGAGTATTATGTGCCCCTAACTCTTACCTACTGAGCCAACTTCAAAACTCCTCACCCAATTTCTTAAAGAACATTAGTGATTGCCTTACCCTGAAGAAAAGTGGTGGAATAAATATTGTTAACTCAGTCATTCACAATGAGCAGAAAATACGACAATAGTTGTTGAATTCTTACATTAGGTCAGTGTATTATGACAGAGAAATCTATAAGGCAAATTATTTGTAGGTTTGCTCATATCATAAAAAAAAAACTTTTAATTACCAAGAAGAGGCTCAAAACAAGTCATTCTTAACATTAAAAGGTCTGCATGCTGTTGACTGTGAACACAGGGTGTAATTCAAAGAAAAAAAAAAAGATGTGAAGTGATATTTTGCTGGCCCGCTTCCAGGCCAGTTGCATAAAGCAGATAGAGAGACAACTGTCTAATTTGAGAAAGTTGTAAGGCCTGAGAAGCTGTAAGCCTGCTGCCATCCTCACCGATCTTCCATTTTCTACAGTCATTGTTTCACATGTAATGATTTGCTCCTGTGTGATTATAAAGGAGTATGATTAACACACAGAACCTAGCCTATATTCTTCTTTACCTACTGGGATAAAAGGAAATGTCCTGTGACCTAGTATTTATTTGCCACGCACTTCCAGCTAAACATCTATAAAAAAAATAGCCTTACCTGATTCTTGGGCACAGAGAGTAAGCATTATAAGATGGAGAAGGCAAAAGAATAAAAAGTCCATTGAATCTGTTAGTTAAAGTTGTCACTAAAGTCAAAATATCTTATCATAGCTGAGCTGTAAAATGAGACTGCAATACACAGCCCCTCTTCCAAAGCTTCCCATCAAAAGGTTGTTCATTAACAAGATACACTCTGTATCAATAAATGTTTTACTGAGGAGGGCTCAGCCTATTGTGGGTGGTGCCAAACCCAAGGCTGGAAGTCTTGAGATCTCCCAAGGCAGGATGCTGCACAACTTCAAGCTCAGCGTTCAGGAGGCAAAAATAGTCATATCTCTGCGAGTTGGAGTTTCAGATACTCAGAAAACACAGTGGATGAGTTTAAGAGGAAGGGTGGGATGAAGAAGAGAGGAGGGATTGGAGTGAGGAAAGAGAAGGAAAATTATGCATATAGTGTTCATATGTGAGATTCTCAGAAAATTTGGTAAAAATTATTTTAAATTAAACTCCTTTGAAACTTTTTTTAAATTTTCTTGCTCTTACCCTATATTTTTTTTTTTTTCAGAACTTCTGGAGGAGACGCTGAGATGCTTTTATGATACAATTCCCAGTTTCTTTGTATTAGGGGCAGAGAATTGAACAAGACACAGAAAAGCAGTAGTTAGTGTGTAGATTTACAAATTGGACAAAAAAGCAAAGAGTATATCTACAGAAGGAGAATGATACAAGTCTAGGTGAAATGAGGAGCCACTTCATTCATTCACAGGAATGAAGTGGATTCATTTTTTTATTTTTTAAAATTATTTTTATTTTTATTAATTTTAGTTTATTCACTTTGTGTCCTCCCTGTACCTCCCTCCCACCTCCCCTCCCAATCTCACCCTCCCTCTTCCCCACCCATGTCCCTCTTCCAGTCCACTGAAAAGGGAGGACCTCCTCCCCTTCCCTCTGATCCTAGTCTATCAGGTCTCATCAGGAGTGGCTGCATTGTCTTCTTCTGTGGCCTGGTAAGGCTGCTCCCCCGTCAGGGGAGGTGATCAAAGAGCAGGTCAATCAGTTCAGAGAGAGTCCCTGTCCCCATTACTATGGAGGTCACTTAGATACTGAACTGCCATAGGCTGCCTCTGTGCAGGGGTTCCAGACCATCTCTATGAGTGGTCCTTGGCTGGAGTATCAGTTTCAGAAAAGACTCCTGTGCCCAGAATTTTAGGATCTGTCACTGTCCTTGTGGAGCTCATGTCCTGTCCAGGTCTTACTATCTCCACTTCTTTCATAAGGTTCCCTGCACTGTGCCCAAAGTTTGGCTATGAATCTCAACATCTGCCTCGATATCCTACAGGGTAGAGCCTTTCAGAGGTCTTTTGTGGTAGGCTCCTGTCCTGTTCCCTCTTTTCTCCCTCCTCTGATATCCATCCTCTTTGCCTTTCTGAATGGGGATTGAGCATCTTAGTCAGAGTCCTCCATCCTGATTAACCTTTTTAGTTATACAGATTTGAGTTTGTTTATCTTATATTATGTCTAGTATCCACTTATGAGTGAGTATATACCCTGTGTGTGTTTCTGATTCTGGGATACCTCACTCAGGATGATCTTTTCCAGTTCCCATCATTTACCTGCAAATTTCATGATTTCCTTGTTTTTTGTTTTTTTGTTTTTTTTTATCGCTGAGTAATATTCCATTGTGTAGATGTACCACAATTTCTATATCCATTCCTCAACTGAGGGGAATCTGGGATGTTTCCAGCTTCTGGCTATTACAAATAAAGCTGCTACAAACATGGTTGTGCAGATGTCCTTGTTGTATACTTGAGCATCTTTTGGATATATGCCTAGCAGTGGTATAGCTGGATCTTGAGGAAGCGCTATTCCAAATTGTCTGAAAAAGCACATGATTGATTTCCAAAGTGGTTTTATAAGTTTACATTCCCACCAGCAGTGGAGGAGGGTTCCCCTTTCTCCACATCCTCTCAAGCATGTGTTGTCACTTGAGTTATTCATCTTAGCCATTGTGATGGGTGTAAGGTGAAATCTCAGGGTCGTTTTGATTTGCATTTCCCTGATGAATAAGGATGTTGAATATTTCTTTAAGTGTTTCTCTGCCATTCAATATTCCTCTATTGAGAATTCTCTGTTTAGCTCTGTACGCCATTTTTAAATTGGATTACTTGATTGGTTGCTGTTTAACTTCTTGAGTTCTTTATAAATTCTGGATATTAGCCCTCTGCCTGATATAGGGTTGGTAAAGATACTTTCCCAGTCTGTAGGCAGTCCTTTAGTTTTGATGACAGTGTCCTTTGCTTTACAGAATCTTTTTAGTTTCATGAGGTTCCATTTATTGACTGTTGATCTTAGAGCCTGTGTTGTTTGTGTTCTGTTCAGGAAGTTGTCTCCTGTACCAATGAGTTCAAGGCTCTTCCCCACTTTTTCTTCTAACCGATTTAATGTGTCTGGTCTTATGTTGAGGTCTTTGATCCACTTGGAGTTTAGTTTTGTGCAGGGTGATAAGTATGGATCTATTTTCATTTTTTCTGCATGTGGACATCCAGTTGGACCAGCACCATTTGTTGAAGATGCTGTCTTTTTTCCATTGTATGGTTTTGGCAACTTTGTCAAAAACCAGGTGTCCATAAATGTGTGGGTTTATTTCTGGGTCTTCTGTTTGGTTCCATTGATCCACCATTCTGTTTCTATGCCAGTACCGTGCAGTTTTTATTACTGTTGCTCTATAGTACAGCTTGAGATCAGCGGAAATACCACCTGAAGAGCTTTTGTGTGGAGCCATAGAATGGTTGTTTGACTCCTGCCTTCTTGGAATCTATAATGCATATTGTGCCTTGCATGGTACAGTGAGTTTCCATCCCTCGACCACACGTGCTTCTTTGAGCTTTGTAGAGGTTTGTTTAACCATTTAGATTTGGCAAGGTATGCATATGAGAACTTGCCTCCAGCTTACCTGAGAACTGTCCTCCCACTTTTAGAATTTCCTTGAGAATATCCTGCTTTGCGATTTTCACTGAAACTAGTTCCTCCCCTTGAGTTGCCCATTCTTACACTTTATAAGCTGTAACCTAAAGTACAATAAACCAAGACTTGATCAGAATTCTGTCTTGTCTCCATTCTTCGAGTTTCCTGTTCCATCCTATTCCCACACCCCCTCCAGGTTCCACATTGACAGTTCTGTGGGTCAGGACAATCTTTTATTATAGAGGATTGTTTTAGCAATTCTGGGTTTCTTTTTATTTCATTTGAAGTTGAGAATTTTTCTTTCAAGGTCTGTAAAGAATGTGTTGGTAATTTGATGGGAATTGCATTGAATTTGTAGATTGCTTTTGGCAAGATGGCCATTTTTGCTATGTTAATCATGCCAAGCCATGAGCATGGGAGATCTTTCCATCTTCTGATATCTTCTTCTTATTCTTTCTTCAGAGACTTGAAATTTTTTTCATACGAGTCTTTGACTTGCTTGGTTAGGGTCACACTAAGGTACTTTATGTCTTTTGTGGCTATTGTGATGGGTGTTATTTCCCTAATTTCTTTCTCAGCCCTTTTGTCTTTTGTATACAGGAAGGCTACTGATTTTCTGTTTGAGTTAATTTTTCATCCAGCCACTTTGCTGAAGGTATTTATTAGTTGTAGGAGTTCCCTGGTAGAGTTTTTGGGGTCACTCAGGTATACTATCATATCATCTGCAAATAGTGATACTTTGACTTCTTCCTTTCTGATTTGTATCCCTTTGATTTGTATCCCCTTCAATTGTTTTATTACTCTAGCAAGGACTTCCAGAACTATGTTAAAGAAATATGGAGAGAGTGTGCATGCTTGCCTTGTCCCTGATTTCAGTGGGATTGATTTAAGTTTCTCTCCATTCAGTTTGATGTTGGCTATATGCTTTCTGTATATTGCCTCCCTATGTTTAAATATGTGCCTTGTATCCCTGATCTCTTCAATACTTTAAACATGAATGGATGTTGGATTTTGGCAAATGCTTTTTCAGCATCTAGGGAGATTATCATGTGGTTTTTTTCTTTCAGTTTGTTAATATGGTGGATCACATTGATGGATTTCCATATATTGAACCACCCCTGCATACCTGGGATGAAGCCTACTTGGTCATAGTGGATAATATCTTTGATGTGTTCTTGGATCCGGTTTGCAAGTATTTTGTTCAGTATTTTTGCATCAATGTTCATAAGGGAGATTGGCCTAAAATTCTCTTTCTTTGTTGGGTCTTTGTGAGGTTTAGGTACCAAGGTGACTGTGGCTTCATAGAATGAGTTTGGTAATGTTCCTTCTGTTTCTATTTTGTGGAATAGTTTGAAGAGAATTGGAGTTAGCTCTTCTTTAAAGGTCTGGTAGAATTCTGTGCTGAATTCACCTGGTCCTGGGCTTTTTTTGGATAGGAGACTTTCAATGACTGCTTCTATTTCCTTGGGAGTGATATAGGACTATTTAATTGATTTACCTGGTCTTGATTCAGCTTTGGTAAGTGGAATCGATCAAGAAAATTGTCCATTTCATTTAAATTTTCAAATTTTGTGGCATATAGACTTTTGAAGTAAGTCCTAATGATTGTTTGGATTTCCTCAGTGTCTGTAGCTATGTCCCCCTTTTCATTTCTGATTTTGTTAATTTGGATGGTGTCTCCCTGCCTTTTCGTTAGCTTGGCTAAGTGTTTGTCTATCTTACTGATTTTCTCAAAGAACCAGCTCTTGGTTTCATTGATTCTTTGAATTGTTTTATTTGTTTCTAATTGATTGATTTCAGCCCTGAGTTTGATTATTTCCAGCCGTCTACTCCTTTTTGGTGTGTCTGCTCCTCTTTTTTTGGAGGGGGGAAGGAGGCTTTTAGGTGAGCCATTCAGATGCTTGAATGAGCTGTCTCGAATTTCTTCTTGAAGGCACTTAGTGCTATGAACCTTCCTCTTAGCACTGCTTTCATTGTGTCCCATAAGTTTGGATATGTTTTCTATTCATTTTCATTGAATTCTAGGAAGACTTTAATTTCTTTCTTTATTTTTTCCCTGACCCAGCTCTCATTTAGTAGCAAATTGTTCAGTTTCCATGTGTTTGTAGGCTTTTTGCTATTTCTGTTGTTGTTGAGGTCCAGCTTTAGTCCTTGGTGATCAGA